CCCCAAAACCCCAAAACCCCAAAACCCCAAAACCCCAAAACCCCTAAGGAGCGAAATATGTTGAAAGAGTTATATTTATTCTTCCTCCATTTCTTTGAAGAATATCTGAGCAGCATTGAAACTGTAGTATAGGAGAGTGTACTCCTCCCCAGATACCTTGATCTTTTTGAGATTGATCTCTCTTTCCACATTTACTTCTTCTGTTAATTGTTGTCTCGCCTTTTGGATATTGTCTTTTTCATCCTGGAGATTTTGCTCAATCGACTCGAACCAATTGAGGGACCCAAACTTTTTATTCTGGTGGAGGACTCTGAGGATGTAGGCAAGGCCAACTGCGAATCCATCGTCGGAAATGTAAGCACCAACTTGCCTCTTTTTAATGACCTTCTCCTTGGCTCTTCTTAAGCTTTCTACAAAATTGATGGTGAGGGCAGGTACAAGGATGTAGAACTGTCTCATATGCTTATTTTCATCTCCTACGAAGACACCATCGAGGCCTTTAACTAATTCTCTGAGGTAATCCTTAGCTTCGGATTCTTGTTTGAATAAGATATTGATGGACTCGTCGAACATCTCTGCTGCTTTCTTGAGGTCTCCATCGATTCCCATCTCTTCACAGTAATGTGCGAACTTTGGCTCTTCGAGGTTCTTTGGGATAAAGCTGATCATAGTGGAGGAATCTTTGATAGATGCAGTTCTTATTAATCTTACGTATCCCAACGCATTTCCGATCATGGTTATGACCTCCCTGAACTTGTCCAAATAAGGCATGCCTTCGACTTGGCCAAGAGCTTTCATTGTTTTACACATTTGCTGGGCCTTCTGGAAGGAGTATTTGGTCGATTGACTTCTTTTGTATTCCTTAGCCTCTATTAACAGAGGGGAGGAAATGTATTCATCATAGAGGAATTCAGAAGTCATACTCATTAGTTTGATCATGTATTTATAGATAGTGTTTACTGCTGAGTTCAGGAACCCAAACCCATGAGTTCTGAGGGAGTTCAACATCTGCCCAATTCCAATCGTCTTGATCTGCTTCGTCTCACCTGTCCTTTCAATGAAAGCTTGAGTGTGGAGATTATAATGATATGTTCATCAGAACTTGTGAATGTTTCTAACTAGTTGGAGAATATCTACATTTTGATCAGTTGTTTTAGATGGTAAATGAGTCTCGAGAATGTCAAGACCGTATGTTTGCTTGGCTAAGACTCTGATATGTTCATAGGTCTTCCAATCCAAAGGGGTGAGAGCGGTCATCTCGTAAAACTTCTCACTAAGATATTGGGATACCCTGCTCTTTAGATTTATACGATTTTCGAATAGAATAATATCATCTATACTGAGGAAATTCATATAATCGTAAACAGCTTCATCAAGTGGATTCTGCTGCTTAAGCTTTGGTACCAATATCCCGTGTATCTGGATCCTCAAATCTTTCTCAATCATCGATCATAGATTTTGTACAATCACCTCGTTGAAACTCTTTGTGATGTACTTCTTGTAGTTGTCAATGGCCACGTTCGGAGACTCAAGATGCTGTACGTTCCTCAGCATTTTGATCGGGTCGTGCAACGCTTGGCACACATACCTGATCCTCTTGAACCTGTGGAACTTCTTGAAAATGTGCTTGAATATGGTTGGAACCAGCGACCTGACCCAGTACAAGAAAGTGCACCTGGTGCTCTTGCCCATGAGGTATTTCCAGTCTCTGATCTTCCTGGCCATGATGACCATGCTGTCGATTTCTTTGAGGTCTTCTTTCTTAAACACCGACTTCGACGAGTGCGCCAAGAAGTCCATGCAGTGCAAGAAGATGGTTTCTCTGGCAGTTCCGAAGCCTCCACGCAAAATGCGAAGAGCCATCTTGATGGCAGCCAGCATGCATGCAGTAGCAGGGTCTTGCTTGGCTCTTCTGAGCAGTGTCTGTGAGTCCTGGAGCTTCCTGATGATCTTGTTGACGAACACTTTCTGCATCACAAATGTGTAGTTGCTGAGTCTTGTGCTTTTTCTCTGGATGGTTTCCTCCATGGACTTGAGCATTTCAATGCACTGGAGAATTCCGTTGAGGATGTTCTGTTCTAAGTTCTTACCGAAGGCTTGGTGCAGAAACAGAAGCTGTTTGAGGGTCCTCTTGATTTCGTAGGCCATGTTGATACCTTTAACAATGATGTGGGCTCTGTTTTCAACAACCACATCAAGCCTGTCACCATCTTCGAGCACAGAGAAGAGTCTACCATTAACTTCGATGATCCAGGTGACTACTCTCATGAACTGGGTGTTGACAAAAGCAAGGAAATTATTATCAAACCTTACCAAAGTATCGTTCAAGAAATTTCCTACACTTTTAGGGTCAAGAGTTGGCTTCTTCTTAAGAGGGCATACAACAGTGAGGAAATTACCTACATTCAGGGTAAGGTTGTTATACACGACAATAAGAGGACATATTTTCTGCAAGCTCCAAATTTTATTTATACAGCTTCTTATCCTCTTTCTTTGTGAATAATGCCCTCATCAGGGCATAATTTGTGAGTAATGCTAGAAGAGGCTTATGGGAATTCTCTTTAATATGTAGCTCTTCTTCAATATTTTTAACTTTGACTGTCAGATACTCCATGTATTTCTCATAAAATTCTTTATTTTTGCTAATCCCATCCTTTCCTAATTCGGATGCAATAGTAGTTGCCAGATCTTTATTATACTCGAGGAACAACTGTTTCGTGAGGATTTTGGTAGTTAATCTCCTGCAGAATCTTTCAAGATATTTAATATTTTTCTTTGTTGCTCCATAAGGCTCGGGATTACTCCTGCATTTTAGAAACATTCTGTTGTACATGTTCCAGTAAGCAACGAAATTTTTATTTTCTGAGACAATTACGTCAAGAGTGACGAGGACGGAGAGAGCTTCACCAAGCATGTCAAAGAAGTGATGGAATACCATCTTCTTAAATACCTTATCATACAGGGTGGTCTTCTTATTTGAGCATCGCATTAATTTGGTATAGCATATTTTTAGTCAATGGGCTGAGCATCTTGACTAGGTCGTAGATATTCTTAAATAAATTCATCATCCTGGAGATTTCTATAATACAATCACCTTCATTTTCATCATTATTCTCTAGGTTGCCATTGTCTCCCCAGCATATAAGTGGGTCATAGAATTTAGTGCCGATATTTCTGGTCAAACTCTTGATCTCCATGGTAAGGTACGAAAATGTGCTTAATATTTTCCTCAAGATACTGTCTTCCTCCAGGTTGATCAGGTCAAACACGCCTGGGAGGTACTCTTCATTGTTAATATCCACTAGGATCTGGTTCTTAAGATTCCTGGTCTCCCAAATGTCTATGATATCTTTATTGGTTCTTCTTTGGAATTCCTTGAGTTTTCCCTCAAAATTCTTCTCACTTTCTTTGAATTCTTCAAGAACGACTTCTTGAGGGGTCTTTACCCTGATGAAGTTCATTTGGTCTTCTTCCGAGATTTCGGAATCTTCTTCGAATTCGTCTGATTCTTCTAGTTCTGACTCAGTGTCTGATTTAAAGAGGTTCATATTTATTCAATCTAATATTATTATCTGGGGTTTTGGGGTTTTGGGGTTTTGGGGTTTTGGGG